AATAATAATAATAATAATAATAATAATAATAATAATAATTATTATTATTATTATTATTATTATTATTATTATTATTATTATTTATTATTTTTAAAAGTAGGTAAATATAAAGTCTGTATTTTTAAACTCAACTAAAACCAGAGTGAGGAATCCATCAGACAAAAGGTGTGGGGAGTAACCTTACAAATAAGCATCAGCATATAACTAAAATGTCTTGGGAAGAGAGAACTGACATTTCAGTCTTGTTGATGAGGTTAATTGGGAGACATTGCCAGGTGAGCAGATTTCAGAACAAGTATATCCCAGACAGACCATGCCAAATTGTCAGTGTTTTACTAGTGTAAGACATGCTTATAGCAATTTGTAAGCAGCACTGCAATGCTTGCTGGAATCTGCTCTCCAGAGAGAGCTTGATTAAATTCCTGTTGCCTTCAAGAGGTTAAAAATGAGATAGAATTCATTGCTCGCTACTACAATGGTTCTTGGCAGTGGTTTAAAACCAGAATCAAAGAATAAATTTCATTAATTGGATTTTTTTAATTACTAACTTTTCATCCTTGGGAAAAAAATCTAAAAATCAGGATTATCTTCATTTGAAATGTATCTTAAGCCCAAATGTATTCCCATTACTTAAATATTCAGCATTGTGTGTCTGCTTCCTGCTGGAGACCTTCTCCAACTAGGCTTATGCAACCAGAGTTTGTTGATGTACTCACCTCCATTGGCTGTATTTTCCCCTACAAGGTGTAGAGAAACCATTTCCTTCTTTTCTGCTTGTTCAACCAATTTAGCTCCACGATGAGTTTATTTAAAACTGTAAAGTATAGAGCTGTTTGAAAAAGCAGGAATGTTACTTCTCTTCCAGCTGAAAACTAGGGGTGGGTAAAGGAGACTTTTCTGAAGTCTCAGAGAATGCATTAAACCGAAGCTATCAGTCCAGCTCTCTGCAGAAAAATTCTCTTTTGTTTAGCAAATCAGCTTTTAGTGCAAAATATATTTAAATCATTCCTCTTATATAGCCAACACATTTAGGGTAGTTTTATTTAACTAATAAAAGAATCATTCTAAAAGGCAATTTTTGTTCATTCAATTGAATACCAATTTCCATCCAAACAGTCTGTGACACAAATACTGAATAATCACCTAATAAAACAGAAATGCACCCTTCACCATTTTCTAATAAAAGAGAAAATGTAAAAATTAAGAATCCTAGGCATGCTATACTGCATAATAGCATGAGTGTGAGGTATCTCCCTGTTTAGCAGAAAGCGCCAGTGGTATTGTAAATGCTATGCTCAGACTTTAACAGTTATGAGCCATAGAAAATCACCCCTTTCTTATAGAAAATAAAAGCTAAAAAGGCAAAGCAATATAACACTAGATTAGTTAGCTCAGTGTTTCCTGCTTGCTGACCCAAGCCATAATTCAAGTAAGTGACTAGAAGGACTTTGATTTTCCATCACTCTACCCCAACTCTTATGCACAAACCTGGGGCAAGGCAAGCTGCTGTCCAGGGATGCAGAGACCCGTCGTGACAGAGTGGGTGGCTGAGGGAGGGCCCCAGCTTCTCTTCAGGGTGCACAGGGCCATCAGAGCTGGTCCGTCATCACACAGTGTGTCCCCAGTGTTGATATTCCTCTTCCCTCCGCAGGACTGACCGCTAACGAGCAGCTCCTGTGCCTGCTGGCCTTGCGATACGGCGATGCTGCCAGGAGAATTGGCTTCTCTGACTTTGTGTGCTGCATGCTGCGCCTTGAAACCATGACCAGTGAGTCTCAGCACCGGGGCCTGTTGTCGGGCAGGGGATGTTAGCAGCAGGAGAGCTTGCAAAGCCAGACTGAGAGCAGTGTCAGGAGGCAAGGGACACAATGCTAGACATGATAACATACCTCTAACAGTGTAGCTTGGAAATAACAAGACTGTCCAAAGTCCAGGCATGGTCCAGGCATTGCTTCTGGCAGCCTGTTTGCCAGAAGCCAGATTTATCTCATGCCCACAGGAGCAACTGGCTGGTAGAGAGCTGAGAGAAAGCAGCAGCTGGGAGTACAGTGATGTCCTTGCTGAAGGGGACCATAAGGAAGGTCAGCCCCCAGTTTCCCATTAGAGCTCGTCAGAGTGCCAGTGGGCTGCAAGCAGCACCATGCTGCCCTGTGTTTTTCCCTGCTGAGGAACAGTGGTAATTTATATCCAGAGCTTCTTCAGCTGCCAATCCTTTTTTGCTGCATTGATTTAGTCTGGCCTCTGCAGGCTTGTCCTTAGAGCCCCTATGCACTAAGACTCATTTTCTACAAAACAAGATGTGTCCTTGTGCTGGTGCCCTTCCACACAAACTTGAGCATCCTGGTCCACAGCAGAGCTTCCTCCAGGGTGGCGTGGAGCATTGCCAGTACCACTTTGGAGAGACTGCATGCATTCATGCCCAGTGAAGAGGAATGAGGCAACACATCTGAAGTGGAAGGCTTTGTCTTTTGCTTGAAAGTCAGAGAAGTCTGAATCACAGCAAGGGAGGTGCTTTTGGTGCTGCCTCTTTTTGGGGTTTTTTTTGACCCAGAGATATTTTTTTCCAACCAACTTCAGTGAAGTTCTCTAATTTTTTTGGTAAGGAGGTCCGAGATCCTTCTCAGTGGATAAACAAACCCACACCCTGTGTTGCATCCAGCTATTGTCTGGCAGTTGCAAGAAGGGAGTGTCTGTAAATAAGCCTTTCCCTGAAAGTAAATGGAATTCTGTTTTACAAAAGCATAATTTTTACTACTCTAATAATAAGCATTTTGACTGGAAATACTGGTAGTTAAACCCAGCAATTGTGACCCATGTGCTAGAACATTGCTACAGCAATTTAGTTCATCTTTGGAATCAGCTGTGTTTCAACAGCACATGGAAATGAGTGTTCATTTTTTCTCATGTGTTTTTACCACTGATGTTTTATGGGCCAGTACTGCTCAGCGTATCTGCCTGGATGACATTGCCTAAAATCCCATTTCAAGGGAGCATAGCAGAAGCAGCTCAGAAAGTCAGAGCGTGTCCTGATCTTAATGCTTTCATTAAAAAACAGATAAATTGTAATCACCCACTTTTTGTGATTATAATGTCACTTACTGTAGATTAAAATTCTTATGCCTAAATCAGTACCATGGCATTTTTTTTTTCATCTTAAGAAAGATCCTTGTACATTTTAAGTGCCAATGTAAAGACAACTCCTTTACATCCATGGGAAAAGGAATCTCTAAAAGTTTCATTGCTGTCTGTAATGAGTATATTAAAATGCTCTCAACTCTTTCAGTTATCACTTTAGAGAGGGTTTAATGTGGAATACATTTCTCAAACTTTTCAAATCATTGTGAATAAGATTGTTACAGAAAAGGATAAGGGTGTCAAGTGGGAATAAAAGGCAGTCCACCTTTATGATGATGTGAATGCAGCAGGGGAGATAAAATCTGTCCCATTAAATCATTACTCATCCTTTCAAGATAGCAAGAGATGAGACCCAAACCAAAAGCCGAAGCTTCTTTGCAAAGTCTGTTTGACCGGAGTTAATGAAGTAGTAAAGGGGAACTTACCTCTGCCCAGAGGAGGTAATTCCAGTGCTGCCTTTTGTTCCTAAAAAGACTGCCCGGCGCAAGCCCAGCCCTGCAAAGACAACGTTGTCAAGAGGCTGCGCGCAACATGGGGATTTCCTTGTTCTATGCCTTTCTCTAGAGAAGCATAGGCTGGATGTGTGCTTCACCATGTTAGCTTTCCTCTCTGCTTTCTCTCTGCTCTGCATAATGTAAGTAGCTCTGGTTGACTCCCAAGGGATAGATGAGCAATGTGCCCTTGTGCCCTGTTCTTACACTCTCCTAGAAGCCTTGCACTTTTGTCTAAAGCCCATCAGGTTTCAAAACATTCATGATCTTATAATGCCTTTTCCATTCAGGGTAGGAAACATGCTCCTGGAGAAATAGGATAGACAGACTTAAATTTGTTTCAACTTTTTATTACTGTTTATAACAGCTCATTTCTAGGAGAAAAGTAATTTCAAAATAAATAAAAAGAACTCAAAATACTGTGTTTTGACTTTATCCAAACACTTGAATTTGAACATTTCTCCTAGACAAACTGCATTGTAAATGTGCACATAGAATAGCAATATTTGAATGAATTTAAATGTTCTGATGGCAAAGTGTTCTGTCAGAAAACTTTCAACAATATTAATTTCAAACTCTGGCTGAGTAACAGCAGCATCTGCATTTATACTCCCTGGAAAAAGCTTGCAAGGCATAGTAATGACTTCAAGAGAACCATTTTCTTTAGGGCACGTTGTGATCACTCACTGCCAGGGAGTGTGGAAAAGGACCAACAGAAAGTTTCCCTGTGGGAAGATGTGTTCCATTGGTTCACTGTTCTCCTGTCAGTCTTCAGGTGGGAGGTACAATGGAAACAAATTATGAGAGGACATGAAAGCAGTCACAGAGAGCATTCCCTGTCCCTACACTTTTGCCAAATTCTGGCCCTGCAATTGGAATGCCTTCCCAGGCTGTGATCCAAAGGCCAAGGCAGAGGGGGTGCCCAGCGCAGCAATGGGATGTGACTAGGCAGGACAGTGCAAGTGGACACCTGAGCCAGAGCGAGCATCCCAGCACAAGGATTGCAGCTCTGCTCCTCAGCTGCCACAGCCTTATGTCTGCGTTGCATTCTTGCTACCTCCTCATCAAATAAGATTTTCTTTGTTCTACCCCTAGATGCATTTCAAAACTTAGCAGAGGGAGGATCACAAGTTTTGATGACAGCAATGGAGGTAAGAATGCTCCTTCCTTCTCTTCTGTACAGGTCTGAATGGGACCAGTGAGTATGTTGGCAGGAGGGTGAAGTTAAAAATGATGTGTGATGTATATTGCTTGAGGTTTTGCCTCTTACTCCAAGAGTGGTGAGGGTTTTTCCTGGCTGGATGTATGTCATGGGTAGGTGGTATTTCCCTGGGGTTCCCTGGCCCCAGTTATTCAGCCTCGCTAGGGTGAGCACAGCTCAGTGGTGGCCAACCACATCCAAAGCACGGTATTCCCTTACTGATACCAGCCTGCCATTGCTGGAAATATTGCTCAAAGTGACTTTGAGGAAGCAACGAAAAAAAAAAAAAGCATGCCCTCATTTCTTACTGCCCCATCTGTTAATTCTGAATTGCAAAACATCTTGGTTTTAAGAAAGAAATAGCAGACAAATGCTTGCTGCTGCTGTTTGTCTTAAAAGCACAGCCTGAAGGATAGCTAGCTGAACAGGGATACATCAAGCTTTTTATCAGCTAGTCTGAAGCAAAAATCCTGCTGTGCTCCACAGTGATATGCCTGAGTGCTGTATTTTATCAGTCTGGGGACTGTTATTTGACAACACAGTGTTAAAAAGATTTTTTTTTAAAAAAATCCCTTTTACAATCTTGCTGGCTTCTGTTTACACTCTGTGGTTAGTTCAGTGGCTCACAGTTCATTAAATCTGTTTTGCACTAAGAACTGAGCAGAGTTTCCAAGCAGAGGCCCTGAACCTGTTTTTTGGGGTAGTCTGTAGGACAACCACATTCCCCGAGCCTGCTATCCCTTTCACTCTCAGTCATGCAGGTGCTACTCTTTCCCAGCAGCTGCTGCAATATTTTATCATGGAAGGCAATGTATGGAAAATGTTTCTGGGTCTGAATTGTAATAAGGGGAAAAATGCGGTTCCAAAACCCCTTAACTATCCTGTGCAGGACATTGGGTCACAGCCTCAAGGTACAAAGACACATGTCTGAAGACTTAGTGTAATATCACTGTCTAGATGCACCTTTTCTTCTCCTTTTTCCAGTGGCTGACTCTTGTCATGTACACCTAAAGAGACGTCAGAACTCGATGCGTCTGGTAAGTAATCTCCTTAATATTATACAAACTGAGAAGAAAGGGTTGTGTGCCCTTACAGTGGTCACAGTGAATATGAGTGGGGACCTTACAGAAAGCTCACCCTGGTGGGTTTTGAGAGAGAGAGAGAGAGAGAGAGAAAGGTGAGAGCTGCAGCATGAGAGGGGCTGGAGAGGGTCTGCAAAGGGAATTGGACTCTGGGCTGTTTTTCTGGGGAATTGCTGATGGTCTTACCAGTTGCTCAGACCACCGGTGGCTCAGTTAGCCACTTGTCCCCAGTTCCCACCTGAGGTAATACATTTTCAATAGATCAACTAGCAGAACTTGTCTTTTTTGTCTTCTTCGGAGGGATGCAGGTACTCCTGCATATCTTACATAGCTGTAGCAGATGTAAAGCCAAGTAAAGGGTGGGGATAAGTGGTCATTTAGATTTCTTGGTCAGTCTGATTTCACATTTTTAACTGAATTATATGATTTAGTTTACTTTTGAACAACAGTTCCTCCTTTGTGCTTCATCTGATGTTTGCTCCCTCCATGTCAGGCCTGGAGCAGGGTTTTTTTTTTAGCTGAAGTTTACCTGGACTTTCTAATTTTGCTACTGGGTTTTCATGAAGGACTTTTTCCTACAGAATTTGTCCTGTTTATACATCCATAAACTGTGTTGGCCACTGTGCTTCTACTAATGCACTGGGATATGGATGTTCCCAGTCGCAATGGTAAAGTGTTAGTGCTGGTCCCAGACATTTGGCACTGAGGAGAAAAGAGGGAGGAAGCACAATCCTTAGAGAAAATGTGCAGTGGGGAGCCAGCACATTCCTGCCTTTGTATTGTGGTTGACCCCAGGACCTCACGGTGCACCCTTGGGCGAAGTCACACATTTTCCTTATCAATCCAGTTCAAAAACAAAAAGCAGGACCTTCACTGAAAACCTGGGACTGCATCCAGATGAGCCTTCCTATAGACAGGAATTACAATAATAAATAATACATGAACAGCATCTCTGGTATCTCACATCCTGTTTCTTAAGGCAATTGACACTGGATGCCAGCTTTGGTGGGAAGTTGAAAAGGGAAATATATAATCAGGGTGTAAATTACACTCTCCCAGGGAGAATGCATGGTAGATTCAGACCGAAGGCAGGGGTGGCTCTATGTCTTTCACCCTTGGCTCCAGGACAGTGGTCATGCCCAGATGCTCCTCTATCTTGTCTCCTAATTGCATCCAGTGAGTCCATCTGCATCAGGAGCTGGGCTTCACCACTCAACACTGTGAGACCTGCACCCCTCTGAGCTCTGTTTGCATACAGTTATTTGTTTGAAAGTCTGCCCTTTGCATTCAGAGTCCTTTGGACAGCGCACCTTCTTATTGTCACAGCACAGCTGTTTTTTAATGTGTTGATGTGTAGAAACAGATTATTCACAGCACAGCACCCACCCCATGCACTGCAGACTACTGTTAGGTAAATATGAGACTAGGAAGACCTCACTTTGGGGGATAAAGTTGCTTGAATTACTGCTTGCAAATTATATTCATAGTCTGTTTAGTCTTCTTTTTTCCTTTCATGAATCATTCATAAACCGATCATAACTTCTGCAAATATATAATTAATCATAATTTTCACTTACCAGTTTTGAATGAAATTCTGCCTGTAGGGTGTTCGTAAGCAGTTTGCTTGAACAATTTAGCAGCCACTTGCAGCCAGAGACTGGGCAGTCATAGCATGGCCCCTTAGAGGACTGAAACTCTTTAAACTAGAGCATAAAAAACTATGAGTGATGTGGGAAAACACACATGACGTTTGTTGAAAAAATTCTGTTGGAAAAATATCATTAGTGATTTCTAAAGACTGACCTCCAGCTGTCTGTATGAGTCTTTTTATCTCTGTTTTAGGTGGCTTTTCTGCTCCTCAGTAGGCCACACAGCCCAAGGCCATCCCATACAAGAGCTATCATGGGGTTCTTGAAAAACCACTGTGAAGGAGTGAAGCCAGATTTCCTATGGACTTTTGATTATGCTTGATGGTACTCAGATGTTGGGATGAAGGGTCCTTTTCAGGCAAACTGGAGTTGCTTTGGAGAGAGAAGAGAAGATAATGAGGGATATCCATGAGCAAGCTGGTAGTACTTAATGGTCTGGGCAAGATAGAAGTGCTGACTGTAATCTCCTCTCATCTTCCTGTAAATAATACGGCTGGTTCTCCTGGTTAATGCACAGAAGTCAGGAACAGCTCCATTAACTCCACTGCACATAAGAATAGAGTCAGGCCTTCTGTGTGGAAGGATTGTCTATCATGTAGGTAACAAAAACAATTAAGACACAGTTTTATTTGAATTATTTCTTAATTTGCTTGTGTGCCATTTCTAAATGCCAGAAAAAGGTTGAAGAAATTAATAATAATTCATAAGTAACACCAGAAGCTTTGTGATTTTTAAAAAACTTTTTATTAATAAATACATTTTTAAAAAAGAAAAAGTCTTATGCATATTTGAGTTAATCAGCTGTAGGGATTCAATTTTATTTGCTACTGCAATGAAGGGGCATATTAGAGATATAGAACAGATTGTTCGGGTTTTTTTTCTGATTTCCAGCATCTATATCAGGACTGTCTGGGAAGAAACAAGTTTATCTGAACTGCATTCTCTTTCTCTGTCCTGATGTCTTTCAAAATATAAGGCTTATTCAGATATAATTCCTGCTCAAAAGTTAAACCTGAATCTGCTAAATAACTGTAACCTTTCTGTAGCCCACACACAAACTCTGTTTTCTTACTGTTTTATCATGGTGATAAAAGCAAATCTAGTGATCTATTCTACTCAACTATTGGGGAAAAAAAAAAAATCTCTGAAGGTTCTATTTGTGAAAATGCCAAAAATGAAGGATGCAAATGTCGATGGATGAAAGCAATTCAGAGTTGCCATGGCAATATAATTCACACCGTGCCTTACTCAGACCTTCCACACAAGTTTCCATTGAGGGTCCACATACTAGCAAGAGATATACTCATTCAGCAGCGAGATGTTATGCACTGGAGCAACAATTATGTCACAAGGTAAAGGAGAGACCCTGTTATCATGAGGTCAGTCTGCAGTAGTGTCTCATTCTGTAGCTTGGACAGCATTACTCATGTAGGTAGGTCTTATGCAAGTGGGTCCGCTGAGCCCACCCTTTCACTGGAAAAAAGGGGAAAGGAAAATCAGTAAAATTAGACAATTTTAATATTTTTTCAGTAATTTTTAAACAACCAATTCCTTCTTCAAAGTGTGACTTACACATCCCACCTGAAATCATTAATTAAGTTCTCTGAAAACGTTGGCAAAGAGACAAGATAAATTTTTAAAAAGTGGCCAGGGAAAAATAAATATGCTTTGCTAAGAAGGTGTATTAGTAGAGCTGTTTCAGAGAAGTATACTTGTTTCGTTTATCCTGGGAATTCAAAAAGCCTAAGTAGAAATCTGGAAGTACTTTTGCATGATGTCCTCCACACAGTTTGGGGATGGTCAAGCTGGCTCAGACCTACTGGGAACAAGCTCTTTGTAGCTACACAGAAGCCACACATGGTAAAATTGTGAAATTCAGTTCAAGTCAACAGGCTTAAATACATTCTCGTTGTTTGCAAGTCCCATCTATAAAAATACCAAGCTGTTAAGATCAGCGCATTAAGATCAGTCTTAAAAATCTTAATTTGCACACAATGTATTACTTTTCCTTTTGTTATGATGCATAATTGGCTTTCTGTGGAAGGCAATTCTACTTGTCATGAGATGAAGATCCTTGTCTCTAATAACTTAGTCAGGCCACAGACTAAAATACTGCTTCTTCATTAAAAACCTAGAAGCAGACAGCAGACATCCCTGGGGAGAAACATCCCCGACACAGAAGTTGTCTCCCCAAGGGCAGACGCTGGGGATGCCAGCTCTTCTCACACAAGAGGTGCACGTACGCCCAGGCCCAGAGCCCGGGCAGCCGGTTGCCGCTGCAGACTCTGACAGCCAGAGCCCACCTCTGCCTCCATCATGCCAACCCTTGGCCCTGGTGTGTGTGGTCTGTGCACGCCAGGAGGCTCCGGGACGAACCTGCGGCCTCTTCGGGTTTGTGGGCTGGCGCCTGCATGCTGATCCCGCACTGGGGCAGAAAGTAATAACTCACTGCTGTCAAACTGAGCGCGGCTGCCTGTCTGTAGTGTTGGAAGAATTGGTATTCCACTTGATTTATACTCCCAACCAAGCTAATTAAGCAACAATTCAGGAGGAATCCATCATTGTGACAGACTTGTTGATTAACCATCCCACAAGCAAAGTCAAGGGTGTTTGGTAGCTGGAAAAAAAATTGGGTCAATAGGGAGAAAAACAATGATTTGGCCATAATACAGCAGTGACTATTATTTTCAAAAGCACAAGAAGCTTAATACATTTCACAAACACAGGGGCCAAGTTTCAATAAAAGGCAGCTCAGATCAGTGGGGTGTTAGATAAAGAGGGAAAGCTTCTGCATCTCATCTTTGGTCAGGCTGTGAAGGTCAACTTTATAGGGATGGTGCCCATATTAAAATCTTCTGTGCATCTTCATCTGTGTTTGCCAGATTGGAAATATTAGTACAATCCCCATGAGGTTTCTGGCATTTATAAAAGCTCTGAGATTCATGCAATTATGATAATATCATCTCTAATGTTTTTGATGAAAATCAGTTTCTAGTCCTCAGGGACACAAGTCTGAAAGGCCCTAAGAGGATCTTCTATTAGAAATTGAAGAGGAGGACCTCAAACAAATGCTTTATTTTTAAATCTTCATGATGCTAAAACCCTCAAGAGGGTAAGAAGCAGGCAATGTGAAGAAGCAGAAGCTGAAGCAGATGAGATTAGTGATACTGAACTCCCTAGCACTGAAGGTGTGGTGAAGAGTTGATGAAATTAGGTAGAATCTGTGACAACCATTAGCATTAGAAAGATTTTGGTGCAGAAGTGGCGACAGCTGACCCTGCAAGTATAATCTCTGGATGCAGATCTTGAAACCCTGATGTTAACCCCCCTTCTCCCGAGACCCAGATGTCCCATGTCTGGCATCTGCCTGGCAGAGGCTGTGCCCAAGTCATCTCGGGATGGATGGAGGAGGAAGCTCTCACACGTCTTGCCTACAGAGCCTGATCCTGCAGATATTCCCAGAGTATCAGCCTGGATTTAGGCTTTTCCAGAAGCCTTAGAGGCTGTGGTTTTGGTGCTCATCCTGCTGTGTGGTAGGGGAGACTGGGAGTGTCCATGACCAACTTCGGAGTAACTGAACTTCCCTCTCCACATTTGGCTGTGCCTCAGTTTCTCACAGAGAAACTGATGCAGTTTATACATAATAACTAAAACACTTTAAAAAAAAACAAAACAAAACAAAAAAACCCACATTATTCCATAAACTCATGCATGGCTGAAGGGGGGAAGGCTGGGTTTGACCCTGGCTGTGAGCAGCCCACCTAATGATTTTGCACTAACGATTTTTATTTTTTTTAATTAATGCAGTGCAGTTGTTGCAGCAGAGAATGACTGTGCAATGCCGCAACAAATGCTCTGACCATGGGCTGCAGTCACAGGCATCTCTCAGGCAAGGTGGCAACAGTAAGGGACAGGCATGCCCATGTGCATCCTGGAGGGATGCCTGCAAGCCTGGGAACACTCAGCTCTTGCTGCTACCTTCAGTGAGACAGTGACCCTTTCTCAAAAGAGGTTCCTGTCCTTCTCCCTGTACCCCAAACACAGGGAAGCAAGTGGAGAGCCCATCAGAGTAACACCCCCCCACCACCACTGTCTGTAGGCAGCTCAGCAGGAGCACAAGCAAATGTTGAGCCCACCGCTCCGGTAGGGAGATACCAGCTGTATTTGACATCGTTGTGTTTAGCCTTAGCACTCATCTTTTAGGACCTCTTTGCTGCAGGGCTGGAGCTGAAACATTTTACTATTACCTGGCAATTCCTTACTCAAAATACCTCATCCTGCAATACCTGGCTATGCTCCTTGCACCTGGTCCCACCCCACAATAGTTGCACTTTGTCAGCCCTGTAGAGCAGCATGCCCAGGCAGACCAAGAGCACACTGGCCTTTTCGGTTTCCCAATGCCCTCCACCAAGCTGGCCAGTGCCGCCCTGGGTGCCAGCTGCCAGCTGTGCTGCCAGCTGTGCCTCCAGCTGTGCTTGGGCCGGGTGTTCCCAGCCGGCTGTGGCACCAGGGTCCATTTCTGCTGCGTGGCAGTGACATCTAGAGGCTCCCTGGCCTGAGCCTCTCACTGTTTGCATGCCTGGCAGCGCTTAGAGGGAGAAACCTGCTCCTCAGGAGCCCCTGAGAAGCCCTTTCACACCCTAAGGGTGAAGTACTGAAAGACTTAAATCCAAGCTCCTTCCCTAGCCCTCGTTCCCTAAACCACCACGTGAAGAAGCTTTGTTGTTGCAACTCGAGGCAATTTTATGTTGCTTCTGGGATTCCAAAGGTTTGAGGGAGCCAACCTGTAACCTTTCCCAAGAGACAAATTGGTCCACATGAGGCTGGTGCTGATTAAACAATACATACAGCTTGCCAGTCTAGGAAATATTATTACCTTGCTTTATATGCTGCACATTAGATTCGATGCCATCCAGTGTCAACTGCAGAGCTGCCACAGAAATACCTCTGTATGAGGCTGGCTGTGCAAGATGAGATTATTGTGCAAATAGTATTATTTATTTAAAAGCAATGTATTCAAGACAGAGGGGTAAATATATCATCTCCACAGGCTGAATTATTCAACCAGTTGATGAACACATGTCCTGAAGCATTCCTGAGTTTGAGCTGAAATGCTTACCATAGAGAGAGAGAGGGAGTATTACAGAATAACAGAATCATCGAGGTTGGAAAAGACCTTGAAGATCATCTAGCCCAGCGGTTAACCTAACATTGACCGTTCCCAACTAACCATATTCCTCAGCGCTATGTCACCTGACTTTTAAACACCTCCAGGGACTCCATCACCTCCCTGGGCAGCCCATTCCAACGCCTAACAACCCCTTCTGGAAAGAATTGCTTCCTAATACCCAGTCTAAACCTTCCCTGGTGCAACTTGAGGCTATTTCCTCCTGTCCTATCGCTTGTTACTTGGTTAAAGAGACTCATCCCAGCTCTCTGCAGCCTCCTTTCAGGGAGCTGTAGAGGGCTATGAGGTCTCCCCTCAGCCTCCTCCAGACTAAACCCCCCCAGTTCCCTCAGCCGCTCCCCGTACGACCTGTGCTCCAGACCCTGCACCAGCTCCGTTGCCCTTCTCTGGACACGCTCGAGTCATTCATTCAATGTCCTTTTTG